CAATGTATTTATATGCAAAAATATTTACGTGTTGAATTCATGGACTCCAAAGAAATAGAAAGATGCTATACACCTTTTTGTATCATAGGTTAGTAGAATGAACAAACTTTATTACTTTGAAATGTAAATATCAACCTTACGAAACATTGTGTTGCCTTAAGGTAGATCGAGGAACTTTGAAATTGCTGATTTACATGCTACTAAGATACTCAAATTCATGACAGAAATGCAACAAATTGAACGCCAAATTAAATAAATAAAACAATCATTCATTCATTACATAATCTACCAACATTATATATCACACACAGTAAAGTAATTGACGAATCCCGTCGATCAATTTCTCCAGAAGATAAAAAGACAAGAATAAAAGTGGCATACGCAGAAAGTGAAATCTTCATTCAGATTGTCGATCTGCTTCCATTATCGAAATTCTTGGAGTAATTGTAGGAATCGCAGCGAAAAGTTTGAGGAAGGCCAACGTTGTCGGATCCGATGAGCTTTCTAAATTCAGACCTCACCTTGTAGAAAACATGTCCTAAGCTGCCTTTATTGTGGCAACCTAGGACTGTTGTTTCTTCCTCATTCATCTCCAGATCATGGGCAAAAGTGGGTTTTCTGGAGAGGATCCAGGTCCATCCCCAATCCCACCATTTCCTTATAGAATTGCCGGCATATTCTCCCATTGAAGATACAGATTTGGATCTGGGAAAAGCCCATGAAGCGGTGGCTGGAGAAGAGATATTAGATTGGAAGTTGAGAGAAGAGAGTCTTCTGCGGATGCCTCCCTCCTCAGGTTGCGAAACTGGAAGCGCTTGCTTGCCTCGGAAGCTTTGGAATATCGAGCTCATTTCAACTTTATGGTCTGAATCAAAATGAATGGATATGAAAACGCTGTATTTGTGTATGTGAATGTTTTAAAACTTAATCAAAACAGAGAGAATAGCAAATGGGCATGAAGAAAGGAGGTGGAAGGTAGTTGTCACAGCTATATTACAGGCTGGTTTAATGTGGGGTTAGAATGATGGTGGCCATTCTTCTTTCTACTTACTGCCAAATTCCCCACTCAACTTTAATTTGTTTCGCACCTGTCACCAAATTTCATGAAACGTGTCATTCAGGTTAATCAACCATCTACCGTTCCACATTTATTCATTTGCCACTGCTATACCCAATCAGACATTGAGCCATTTCAGAGAAATTTTTTAGATACCTCTTCGTTTAGGTGAGAGAGTACGACATTAGTTTTACTTTGGCCTGCTCCTTGGCATGGGGAAACGTCTATCGTCCCTTGTTTTGGCATATAATCGACTCTCCCTCCCCCATCATCCCCAATTTTAGTTCATTGGCATACTCCACCAATGAGATTCTGCAAGATTAATACCGATGGATGTTTCAAGATGGTTTTGCCAGCGGTGGAGTGATTATATGAGAATAGCTTAGTCACTACATACATGCATTCTCCTCTTCATTTGGGAAATGCCTTATTCTCGAGGCTAAGTTACGTGCTATTCTAGAGGGGATTTTACTTTCTAGACAACATGAGCTAACGAATCTCTAGATGGAGACAGGCTCGACTTTGGCCATTCACTGTATCACCGGGGGAGGACCATGGATTATCCAAGACATTTTTTGACGCATCAGACATCGTCTCTCTTTTGATCGAGATTCAGTTTTCCACAATTATCGAGAGGGGAATCAAGTTGTCGATTCACTTGCAACAGAGGGTTGGGCCCACTATCATTATCAAGTATGGACCTCTTGACTTTCCTCAACAGATGTGTCCTTATTCAAATGGATAGACATGACCTTCCCAAGGTTAGGAGTTTTTAGAGGTTTTACATGTTTTATCATTGTATGGGAAGTAAATATCCCCCACTTATTCCATTTTCATGTGTATTTCTCTAGGTCATGCTTATGTTCCCCTCACTTTGATTCATGAGAGTTTGATATATTACATGATTGGGTAGTCCTAACTCCCATTAACCTTTCTTGGTATAACCTAAAAATTTACTGAAACTACTCGCGTTGATATTTTGACAGGTGAATCAACCATCTTATTTAAGCATAAAACCCGAAGTAGACCAATCATTAGATGACATGCCGACACTACATCAAAGTGTAAATCTCGTGTATGTGTAATTGCTATGCAATTTATTCTTGGTGTAGTTTTGGATTTCAAAAATAAAGACTCACAAAAAAAATTAACAAAGAAACTCAATTTCAGAAATTAAAGTTCAGTGGCCAATGTAATAGTAAATGTAAATTACAATAGCCATTGGTGAAATTAATCCGTTCTTTCCTTCTTTTCTTTGGAAAATTTCATATGTGGCTATTGAGATTTTAGAAAAATCTCAATTGGGTTACTAAGTTTCAATTTATTTCAATTATGTCACTAGTTTTCAACTAAGTTTCAATTGAATCACTTAAACTAACTTTAGTTTCAAATTCCACCACTATATTACGTATTATCTTCCATTTTGATAAAATTGTTGAATTAGCATACATATGTAATAGATCTTCCATACATTACTACGTGCTATAAAAATGTTAATCTATTGAAGTTGTCATAATCTTTATTTTATCATTTTAGGGCTTGTTTGAGCCTTTTTTTCCCCAAAAAAAATGCGTTTTGCAATAATGTTATGATGGGGAATGTATGGTTAAAAATAAGAATTTTTTTTTAAGTTTACTTGTAATATTATTTTATTGAAAAATGTATTGTTGAAATGAGGTCCAATCATTGTTTAAGAATACATTGTGATGGGAAAATGGGGCTCAAACAATGACTTAGTTTCTAAAGTGTCACTTAACGATTATGTGGAAAGATTGGTTATAATATGATTACCTACTAAAGAATTTTCACGAGTTTGGAGATGATAGGTGATGGAATGTGATATAGTAGTAAAATTTGAACTTTAAGTGACCTAATTGAGACACATTAAAGGTTAATACTAATTAAGACTCCATTTATAACGATTTATAAACGGGAATAACAAGAAAAATAGTAGTAGATATGGATAATAATGAGTAATTATGACCGAATTTATAAATTTTGTATTCAAATAGGGACTAAATTATTTAATTATTTTATTTGGCAATGATATAAGAACAATTAGTTATATATGAACTTAATAATTTAGCTAAAACATGGGCAATTAAGACAATACTACCACCATTGATAATATTTACATGACTTGTGAATTTACCTCGGATCTCTCTCTGTTTGCCGACAACTAAGTGAAAAACAAATTGAAACAATACTAATTAATGACAAATAAAAAAATAAATCATTGACCACAAATCACAGGTTCCTTGTCCACATCACCACTTACTATGACGTGGGGAAAAATGAAATTTGTAACCAAAAACTTTTCAATAAGGTGCTTGATTGAAGAGAGAGGGTTTATACCACGATCTACTTGGAAAAGGAGTGCTTGAAAATGAGTGTGTAACCAAGCAAAATAATCATTGAGTAGAATTAGTTAAAATAAGCAAGAAGAGTGACAAATCACTCAGGACATTAAATCAACGGGTTTTAATTAGTTTCATTAATTGTGCACAGCAATGGTTAAAATGAATTATACAACAGATTTCGAATCCACTTTCATTTCCGTGTGTATTACCTACACACTTGGAAAACATTAGGTGCACGTGGCCTCTTCTCCGATAGTAAGGGAGGCAGCCGTGGACACTCTAACGCTTAAGTCAATCAATTGTAGGTGTTGGGTGTAGGAGAGGCACAATGAACGTGAGTAATAAGAACCACGTTTAAGAGAGATCCTCAAGCTATGTTTGCAATATAAGGGTAGAGTATAAAATTGCAACATCTTTGAAAGACACTAAGTGTGAATTTTTATACCATGGAAGAAGTAGTGTCAATTGGCCGCTCAATATTAGGCTTCATTTCAAACGGCTCACGGATCAAGCTTGACATATGTCAATTCTAACTTTCTTAGGCCTTTGATCATCTTAAATGAACTGAAAGTAGCCATATTAAGTCATACACCTATTATCTGAAAAGTAGATCAAAAAGTTGATTGAAAGCATCTACTGCAGTTCTACCTATCTGTAAGACATGCAAAGATAACCTATCTGTAAGACATACAAAGTATCTTTGCATGGAGGATCTCTTCATTTAAGTGACCTTTGTTGAAGAGACCGTTGCTTTGGAAATACACAACAGCAATCTGTGCCTCGCCTCAGAGATGATGCTTTGATTGAGGAGTGTCATTTTGGATGAGGTACCTAAATCATCTCGCCCTACTACCTAACCACTTCGACGAGAGCTAGGAAGGGCAAGGCTACATGAAGTGTAGGCCTTACATGGCTTCTTGCTCTTTCTTAGATGGTTGCCATGTGGCTTGGCTTATTGGACGAGTCATAACGATAACCCCAAAGTTCAAACTTGAATATTTATATAAGGTGTGTGCTTAGATTATTGTAGTCGCTTTGTCTACTAGAAGCTAGCAAAACGAGGAATGAGAAAATGCGGGGAGAGAACTTACAATCTATCTCTATAATATGAGATGTCATTTTCAGATGGATACTAATCTGAATCTGTAGGGATTGAAGATTAACAGATGTACTTTGGGGCAAGACGAGTTGGTGAGTAATGATCGTACATAATCTCGTTGGTACACGATATCATAGACAAGTAATATGATTATGAATAAGATATCATAGACAAGTAGTAAATACTATGATAAATCGAAAGATATTTTCACATAACAAATATAAATTAACTAATGAGAATTTTGTTTAGCTATGGCACAAGCGATCAGGTCACATATCTTAAAGGAGAAAGTAAAACATGTTATCAGAAGGAATTCTTAATCCTTTTGATTTTTTTTTTCAGAATTAAGTGTTTTCGTTAATTGCATTAAGGGAAAGACGAACAAATAGAAGGAAATGAGGTGCCAACAGAACTTCGAATGTCTTAGAACTAACTCATGAATATATTTTCGGACCATTCCCTTCGACTTCTTGGAATGATCAATAGTTATTTATCACGTTCGTAGATGATTTTTTTGTTATAACTTCTTGTATCTCATTCATGAAAAATTTCAATCATTGGACATGTTCAAGACTTATAAGGCTGAAAATCAACTCAGGAAAAGAATAAAACACATTATATCTAACCTGGTGTTAAATACTACAATAAATATGGCTGAACAAGAGAACAATGCTCAAGGCATTTTGTTAAATTTCTAGAGGAATCTCATCCCGCAGTACACCAGAATCTCTCTAGAAAAAAAGCACTAAAGACTGCAACTTAAATTCTCAATAAAGTTTCTAGTAAAACCACTATCTAAACCTCTTATGATCTTTAGACAGACAAGAAACCAAGTTTGAAGAGCTTGAACATTTGGGGTTGTTCAGCAAAACCAAGGCCTTATGAGCCAAATAAAAGGAAACTAGACTTTAGAATCGTCAGTTCCTATTTAACTGGATATTGTGAAAGGTTAAGAGGTTACAATTTATTTTTTAAAATCCCATTATCAAGTCAATTTTTGAAATGAGAAATATTTAATTCTTTGAGGATGTGGAATTTAGGTTGAGAAATTTGTCTTGAAGGAAAAATATTATATATCTTTTCTATTGCAATTGATAATAATCAAGACCAGAAACAAATTCTTACTCTAGATCTTGTCCAAAAAGAAATTTTGAATCAAGACAATATTACAAAACCCCATATACATAATCAAGAGATTGTTCTAAAAAAATAAACTTAACAACCTTAAGAACAAATATCATTAAGAAGATCCAATAAAGAAATGCAAATTTTGATGACTTTATGGTCTTTCTCCAAGAAAGTAAGGATGACATTGGATTGATGGAAGAAAATTCAATCAACTTTCATCGAGCAATGTAATAGAATAATTCTTAAGAGATGGTTGATGCCATGAATAAAGAGATAAAGCTCATAAATACAAATGATGTTTGGGAATTCATCCCATTGCCTAAAGGTGCGAAATTCATTGATTATAAATAGATATTT